GAGGCTCCACATGTGTTCGCTTGTGATATGGGAAGATTTTAATTAGTATTTGTATGATCATCCATAATACTTTTGGTCTGCGTGAAGAACACGTGGCTTTGTTGGAAGAGCGGCATTGCCACACAGATTTGGAGGATATCTTTATTATTTGCTCACTGAGGTTATTTTGGGAGCAGATGTTCTAGATTTATAACACCTAGAGAAATCTGAAGTGAAGGTGAACCTCAGAAGTAATTTCAACTATGTTTTTGTAAAAATGTAAGAGATCCTTTGCAATATGTTCCCCTCTTTTGCAAGGACATAAAAAAATTATTATCAGGTGAATTTTTGTTCCTATACAGCAGTAGAACGGAGCTTAATGGCATGGGAAAGGAGACACAGTGACAGGATTAGATTTTCAAAGCTTTTCCAAAGGTGTTTTGATATTAAGATGATATGCTATCCCATTTTGTAAGGCATTTTGAAAATCACACTATGCACATGTTGGCAACTTAATAACCTTTATGAATCTACACATTTCATGCTTGGCAAGAGGTAGAATTTCGCTCTCGGTCCTGTATATTAAGAGATCAGAAACCTGGATTCAAGCCTGATTCCCATTTTGCCTGGTGTATGATACACCATGATAGAAAATAGAAAATAAGTTATTTAATTAGGCAACTTTCTTGATTTGCGGTTTTAGGGAGTAAAAACTTTTGAAGTAGCATTGCAGATCTTATTATGATTTATATAGAGTTAAACCCTTTCAAAAACAGGTTCAATAAGTAAATAACTAAACAGCAGTAACAAAAGCATGAAAGGGTTGTTTGATGTGCCATGTCTTTCGGGGAGGGATGGGACGGATGCAGTCCTGGGGATGGATGAGCACAAGGCACATCTGGATCCACCCAGGTCAATCCTGGAGCATGTGCACGACTCAACCCGGCTTAGACAAAGCATTCTCAAGGAAAGGTTAATGGTCATTGTCATCATTTCCTTTTTCTTCGCATTATTATCTTCTTCAATTCCTTTATTCTTCTGGCTTATCTCTTGGCTCCTCGCCCCCTCTCCCAAAATAGTTATTCACTCAAGTGACGTCTGACTTCAAGCATACATCAGAGCACAACTAATTCCCTTAAACACGCTTTATCTTACCCTTCTATCCCTTGTTACAGAGCTTCAGACTGGTGATGGCAGTTCATTTTGCTCTTCCTTCCCTGACAAATAGCTCTGCACCCGTGTGAATCAGCTATACCCCTGGTCTTCCAAACACGGATGTGAGTTGTTCCTCATGTTCTTCATGAGGCTTCAGTTCCAGTAAATTTAGAAAAGTTATATAAAGAGCACTAGATTAATATTTATTCCTGTGTCTTGCTTGGAAATACTTGCTGAGTTACACTTCACAAATTGGAATAGTCTGACGTTGACACTGACCTTTCAGTCTCCTTCTATGAATAATGATTAAAAACGGTAAGAGGAGGATCTTTAAAGCTAGTGAGAAAATAAAGTCTCTGGCTGTTTATGATACGAAATTATTCCTCCTTTTCACAAGATATCTATTAGCATGTCTACAAAATCTTGCATCTGATGTGATCAAAGAGGTTGAAGTGACTTTTCCCTAATGAACAATTCATCCTTTGTCATTCTTCTGGGAGATACCTTTTTCTGGGGGAGGGAGGGCAGGAGGAATTTCTTTAATTAATGTATAGAGTTAAGAGCTAGTCATGCTAAGAAAATGGGACCTGTGAAATAACTTGTGAGGTGGGGTTTTTTTTTTTTTTGACAGCCAGCTGTTTTCTCCTAAGAGGATATTATTTACATGAAAAATGTGCAAATCTGTCAGACTTTCTCTACTATCAATTTACATTTGGGTATCAATGATAAATACACCTAGGAAACGTTCTCAATAGTAACTGTGATGAAGACAAGAATATACAAACTCAACAGTAGCTTATATATAGATGCTTCCGTGTAATTGAAATTGGGGCAGGTAGTGGCATCACAGTCTTTGTAATGGTGTGATACTTCAATAATATTTCGGAGTGTATTCCAACTACAGAGAGATGCATCTTTTCTCCCTCTGACTGGTTGAGTTCCCTTTTGTATTGTCTTAATTTTATCAGTGTTTCTCAGCTCTATCAGCAGCAGTAGACAAAGTCCATTTTGTTGCAAAGTCCAGGCTGTTGCAAAGACTTATGTCCTGAGGTGTAGCACAGTTCTCCCTGTGCCCCCTAACCCTCTTGACTGTCCTTTGTAGTTTTCATGTCCACTTTTGTCAAAAATTAAATTGGGATTTAGCCTTGAGTGCTCCTGAAAATATGGTTGCTTAGATTATGATTCACTTCATCCTTGTGAACATAATTTTATAACTTCTGAGCTGAAGTTTTGGGAGTGTAGTCAATCTTACCAGGTTTTCACATAATAAATAACTTCACAGAGCTCTGTTTCTTTTTGTCAGCTTGCCCAAATTTGTCTTTGTGCTTACCACTTTTCCCTAGAGTTATGTTTTTGTAAGACCCCTCTCAGTATGCGTGATTTTGAGCATCATTGTGTGCTGTCGCTTTGCATACCTTGCTATGGGGAGGGATCTATAGGAGGAGATCTTGATGGTTTTGGGCAACTGTTGAACTGTCTTGTTCTTACGAAGGTAGTAGCTTGCAAAAATCATTCAAGTTTTATCTTAAAACTACATGGGCTTTCTTACCTTTCCTTGCTGATAGGCTGAAATCTCTTTCTTTTGATGGTGAGGCACAATCTGCTTTTCCACCTGGTCTTACTTACTTTTGTTTTTCTGCCAGTATTGTTTTGCACTTAAACACCTTCTCACATTTATTTCTTTTATGTGCTTTAAAGTAGAAGATGAGCTTTGATGGTTTTGTGGTTTGTGTTTTTTGGGGGTTGAGGGCTGGCAGGCAATGTAAGATGCAAGAAAGCATCATTCATGAACTAAACATGTAGATAGTTGTAATTAAGGGACTCCAGGCTTATTTCTGATAAATATTACAGAACACGGGGAATAAAAGAAGCACATCAGTTGACACATAAGACTTAAGAAAAACATGCAACAGAGTGTACAAAGACCAACAAAATGGAATCTGCTGTCATTGTAGCAAAATGAAGCAGAAATCTATAACAATTCCTATGGGCTTTTTATAACTTTTGAGCAACAGGCCTCAAACCTGATAAACTTTTCAATAATTAAGCACTTTTTTTTTCAGTCAGTAGTAATAATCTTATATTCCCTTCTGTAATCTATGAAAGTTCATAAGAAAACCACAAATATTAGATTAACTTTTGCTTTAGATGACCTACAGTTTTGATAAGAGCGGCTAAGGAAGTTTTTTAAACTTAGCAAAGCCTTTGTTCTTTCCAGTAAGCCATACAGTCACTTAATATTGAGAGATAGATTAAGAGCAAGTTATCTTGAATTTGAAAATGAATTTGCTGGATTTTCACAGTGAAATACTGTTTTTCCCATTCCCCAAAGCAATTAACATAGTTTTGATGAGTCAACATTTACCAAGATAAATCATTTTGTCAGCAGTTTCCAACTATATCTAAAAGTTTGTCTAGCTTTAATGAAGTTCATTAATAAGACTGAATTATCATTCATAGTCCCCATCCTACACACTATGCAGTAGTCCTACAATTACGACATATACTTCAGAATTCAATATTAAGCAAGTCCTAGAAAGGAGACATGTGCCATAAAATGACTGCTGTGCCAGTGCCATGTGACTCAGCTGAATCACATCAAAATATTTATTTTTAAGCTGTTCAGCTCTTCATCTAGTACGAAGTAATGCTTGAGAAAGACTTAGTAAGAAGTAAGGCTTTTTAGCCAAGTCATGATACACACAGTGAGTAGATGTTAAAATGGACTATGACACTCGTGTGTGTGTGAGCAGATAGTTTTTCCAGCACGTAAAAGCTCCCACTCACGCCCAGCATGTTCAACTATAAAAGTGCAATGTGCTCATAAACCTAACGAAATACTCTGAGGTGCAATAATAAGCCATCCGTTTTAATAAAAGAAGCCAGAATTCTGACCTAATTCTTTCCCAGTAGGGTTTATCACTGACTTATAAATAACTTACAGGTCTAAGGCATGTCAAGGGAGAATAAATTAGCAGAATAAACAAAACATTTGGAGACTTCCAGCCCCTGCTGCTACGACTGTCTTGGGGAAAGACTGGGAGAGGGGGCTGTGAACATCTGGGCTCCTGCTCATTTTCTGTTGGACTTAACTATTAAAGAGTCGAGGCCAGAGAGGTATAGGTGGAAATGCTAACTCTCTTTTGGTGTGTTTATTGCTGTTTTTATTGATGTCACGATGAGGAGAGAGGGAACTACGAATGTAGAACATGGTTGCAATCTAAATTGACCTTTTTTTGCTATCAGAGAAGTTGTTTTGGATGCTTTGCCATAATGGCTGTTGATTTTTTTAGTAATTCAGTGTGACCTCCCATTGTGAGTGGAGGATTGAGAGCTATGATATGAGCTGGTCCTCTTCTAGTTTTTGAAAGCAAGAAGTTCAAACAAATCTCTTGTAAAATCTACGTGGTTCATCTTTTTGTCTAACAAATGCTTTTCTGCATTGGGATGTGAAAGTGATGTGCATTATTCCTATTTATGTAGAACTATATGTGTTGTTCTGTCCTATACCTTATTAAATAAACAGAAGTAGCAGCAGAAGCGTCTAACATAGTATTTCATTCCACTTTCATTGGCAAAATATATTTAATATGTCTAAAAGCACTCCTGTTTTTTTCTTAATTCATTTCATTTCATACTTCATGAAATTTGTCATTTTCAAATTATGCAGTGGTTTCTTGAGATGCATGGATATCTGACTCTTTCTTTCACTTAGATTTAAAATCTGTTCCTACCCCAGTTCCAGAGCTGCAAGTGGCATCCTTGCCAGGGGCTGGTTACAGCACTCCTGCTGTAAACTGTTTGTTCGTTTTTTTTTGCCTTAATAACAAACTAATAAATTTTCTTCTCTGTTTTTGCTCATACAGCTGGAAGTTGAGGTCACAGACTTAAGTGGGAAGATCGTGGATGGCCCAGTCCGTCTGGACATTTCAGTGATCGATCAAAATGATAACAGGCCCATGTTCAAAGAAGGACCTTATGTTGGCCATGTCATGGAGGGATCCCCTACAGGTAAGTCCATACCTGCCATACTACTTCTATAAATTACCAATACCGAGGTCTGCCTATTGATAATTGCATCATTTTTATATTGTGCAATTTTTCTTTTGACTTTGTGGCTCACTGAATCCTTCATCACATAAGGAGGGGAGAGCAGCCCCTTGGGACAGTGAGTAATGATTTTTTTTTTGAACAGTGAAGTTTCTGTGCTAAGAAAGAAACAAATGCAGAGCATAGCTTGGAATGAAAGCCTGGGCTTAGGTTTTCACTTTGTTATTCATATGCGGTATCAACAAAGATAACCCCTAGGATATGATTAAGATTCTGTGAAAAAACAACAGTTACAATTTTTGGTCGGAGTGGAAATTTCACTTTTTCTCCGTAAGGTTGACTGCTGGCAGGGTCTTTTTTTATTTGCTTGTACAGTAGCACATGACATAAATAATGGGAAGAAATGGCAAGTGCAATGTAAATATGGTGATTCTGTAGGAAAGGTTGAGTTACTGAACTGTGTTGAACTTTGCACTGTAAAATGAAAACATGCCTTAAAGTCAGTAAGGAAGCAGTTCTCCCAAATTCACTGTAGATTTGGTTGTGAAATTGTGTAAAATTAGAGATCTTTACCTAAATTCCAGTTTGGATGCACATGGTCATCCTAGCTGCAGTCTTCTGCAGGCACAAGCCAAAACACTTCCCTTCAACTTTAGTCCTCAAATGTCGTGCAGTTTTGGTGCCAGTTGTTAACCAGCTGTTGCGTTTCACACCAGAGGTTTCTCCACTGCATTTGCAAGCAGTGGTAGTATGATCAGAAAACATAATAGCGTTAATTGCGAGTGCAGGAAGAGAAATCTGAAATGGTAGAAACCCCAATTAAAATCAGTGGAGTAATGATGCTTTAGCTGAGATCAGAATTTTGGGCTATATATATTTCTTTCTGTGCATCATTCAGCACCAGGCTGTATCCTCCATACACAGTTGAAGCTGTGCCTTAATCAGGGCATAGGGTTTTGAATGTACAGGCATACTGAAATATTTTGAGATGAAGGCTGGAATCTGGTGGTATATTACTGTGAATATTTAAGGTTCATTTTTAATGTGGTGACAATGTGCTTTGTTGTGAACAAGGGTAGACAATATCCTTCTTCTTATGGGTTCTCAATGCCCGTAATGCCTTCCAGTTAGTTGCTGTATTGCAAGTTGGTCGGAGTAGGTAGTATCTTTTGCCCTTTCGTTAGTTGTGCAGTTTCCACAAATCATGTCACCTTCTCAGCAAATTTTACATTTCGCACATAGTTGCATTTGTTTAATTAGCTGCAGGTATGAACTGTATTATGAACTGCTCTTTTGTCACATTAAGGGCGTTAAGATAAATGTTAGTTTACTTTACTTCTAACAAGCAAGCAACAAACCAGCTGGGTGATTTGGAAGATGGACTGTTCTATTCATTCAAACAAGAAATGCACTCATATTTATGAGCATGGCTTCCAAGTGTTAACTCTTTTCCAATATAGAAAACTATACCTTCTTGCCTGCTTGACATACTGAGCAATTATGATGAATTCAGAAGAAATTTCCTTACATTGTCCCACCTCCCAGTTCCCTTCTGTTGTAACATAAGTTTCATCCTTTACTCAAATTATTTTATTTCTCTGAACTTTTGCTACACAGATAGTCAATAGGATATATCAGAGCATGACTACCTAATCAAGGGACTAGCTTTTCTACTCTTTTCTTTAAACTGCACCATAAGTAACTTCTTATACGTATTTATACAAATTTACGTATTGATTTTTACACGTATTTAGGTGGTTCCTTCGTTTCTCCCTATTTTTAATTGGAGCTTCCTTAGACTGTGGGATGGAACTGGGGTATGAATTACAACAGTGATAGTAATAGTGACGTGGTTCTGCCTTAGCTTTTCTAAAGGATGGTGCTTCATCTTACATGATCTTTAAAATCTTTAGATCTTCAAGATTACATTGAAATACCTCACCAAGCAAAATATGATTTCCTGTTCTGATTTATGGCTTGCCTCCTTTTTTTGCCACATTTAGAGGGGAAAAAAACAGAGATAGCATGTGATTTTTGTATATATTTCATGTGTATAAAGAGTTAAAGAAGCTTTTCTACATACTCAAGTCGTGGATCTGTATTAGTGACGTTTTAATGGATTTTTGAGTTACTAAGGCTATGTTTCTGTGCGCATAAATTTGGTTGGTTGCTTTGGTTATTTGGACAGCTAATATTTTTGTGTCATCACTTTACTAAAGAAGCAAATATCAGGCATTGTTACTGGGACTATAAAGTGGTATATGCCTTACATGAAAAATACTCACTGGTTCCAAGCCAGGGCTTGTCACAGGTTATGATTTATTTTATGACCCCCAAAAAAAAAAAAAAAAAAAGTGATATATTTCCTTATATGTATTTTTTTCCTGGTGCGAATTTAATCAGCTTATTTTCATGGAAACTGCTCATATTCCTGGAAATAGCCTAGAGTCAGAGTCTTGCAGAAGTACATTCAAATGCATGTTTAAAGTGATGATTTGACCTTTCCAGGACAAATTAAAAGCTTGGAATCTCTTTATTTGGGGGAAAAAAAAAATCTGCGTTTTTCTCTGGATTGCTATATCTCCAATGTCTGCAGGAGTTTGTAATAGGAAGGTGATACTTGAACCTGATTCAGTGAAGGCTGTGGAAAATTTTATATTTTCTGCTGATTGTAATGGGCTTTATCTTAACAGTACTATTAATTTCTCACTTTTTGGTATTCTACCCTAGGGCACTATTAATTTCCTACTATTTTGAGTCTTGCCTGGTCTCTGCAGGTGCCAGCCTTAAGGTTTGAGGTGTATGGTCGGCTGCAGACCCAAACCCAGTCAGTTAACGGGGGCCACTGCAATATTACACATTACAGAGGCAGGCAGCGATGTCTGGATGTGCTTTTCTCTCTCAAACATTTGAAGAGCCAAGGCTGGTTAAATGAACTTGGCAGCCGCCTCCTTCTGCTTGCTGGAGGCACTTAGCAGAAATTATTTTAAACACATTTGATGTTGTTCTGTGACTTGTAACGATACGACGTGAGCCCATTGGGGTAAAATCTTAACTGCGGCGGTTGAGAAAATTGCTGGAGAATTGCATTAAAAAACAGCAGCTAGTTTGCCATGAAACACAATAGCCGCGATCCATTATATTCCAGCCCAAAGCAGGGCTGAGAGAAGATAAATAATTGCTAGGAATAACAGGACATGTAAAGGAGCAAGAAGAAGAAATTAAGAGTAGCCTAGAGGGCTGTTCAGTATCAAAAAAAAAAAAAAAAAAAAAAAAAAAAAAGGTAAAAATGGATAAAACACAAGGCAAGGTCTGAAGCACTAAATGTTATTGATAGCTTATGCTGTATAATAAGTAGAACGCTGCTGTCATCCAGGTAAATGAAAATTGGCTCTAAAGGTGGTGGCTTCTTACCAAGATGAACATGCAACACTGTCTATTTTCCTTTAACAGCAACAACAAGGTTAACACACGGATGAATATAAACAACTTTGGTTGTAGTAGATGAGAATGAAGCGATACTGGGAAAAGTAAACTATGGCAGACTGGCCTAAAAATGTGCCTAGGATGTTTCAGACTTTTTTTTTTTTTTTTCCCCCCCTGGTTACTATACAGATTTTGTCACCTTTGATGTATTCCAAATATTATCGTAGCTTTTTTTTTTTTTTTTGACAGTTTGTTCATTTCTTGCAGTGTCTATTCAGGGATTAAGAAGGTTGTCAGAGCTTTAAAATGCTTAAAATTGCCTCAAATTCGGTGAGCTCTGCAGGCCCACATCTTTCCGGCAACCTATAAATCCAATAACAAGGGGCAAACCACAAGGCATTTAAGAGCTTTCTTGCAGTCAAAAGAGGGAATACAGACTTTTCTCAACGAAACTCCTGCAGAAAAGAATAATAAAGGGCAGTGTCTCTCAGTAAATGCAGCATTGGATATTTCCCAGCGTCTCTGAATCTGTCTACGTCAGTGTCCAGACGTTCTCCGTGCTTCAGTCTTTTATGATAAAAAGTTACGCTCTGCACATTTATACATGTTTTTAATGCACTGTCTGCATATTCTGAAAATAAGGTTAACTTAGGAGGGCAGGATATCACATTCTTAATAACATCAACAAGGAAAGAGTGTCAATGGCAACACCCCTTAGCACAAGCCCTGAGCATCACCTGGGCTGGTGATGTGAACTGCCTGTATTTATTGTGCATCTTTATTTATTTTGCAGTTTGCTGAACTATATTCAGACATAAAAGTTTTGGGGAGCCCCTTGTTGGGAAATGCTGCAATCTCTTTCGTGCAATGCACACACATTGTGTTGAACTACTTCACCAGGCAAAATGCTGCCTATAATTTGTGTTTAGGTAGTTGGTGGCTATAATGAGAGAATCAAGTTGGAGGTTTTGAACAAGAACTGCAGAAAAGATGTAAGCAAAGCAAGGAGGTACATTTTGATACGTCTCAAAATGTACTTTTAAGTGAACCACAGGCACACGCTTCACATACTGCTTATGCAGATGATGGTCATAAATTAAAACAATGAAAAAAGAGAGTTTGCAACAACATCAAAAGCACTTTTATGCTTTTTACAGTTTATAATGAGAATCATAATTAGGAATGCTTTTTGATATTCCTTATAATATAAGAAATAGTGATCAACTCTTTTGGGGATTCACCTAAGATAAAATTATATTTCCACTGAATTTACTGGGAAAAAAGGCTAAACAGAGTTTTAATTTTCAAATGAGAAGTTGTGCATTGTAGAGCTGCTTTGTGTGGTATCAGGATCCTGGTGAATTTAAATACTAGAAAGTAAATACTGTGGTTCGTTCTGAGCTTTCATTATAGGAGTATCCCCAAATCATAAATAAAATCCTTACCAGCCTGTCTGCTAGAGCCAGGCTGGTCCTATGTGGATAGGCATGCTCTGCTAACCACGAGGAGAGTCTCTTGGATTTCTTTTCCTATTT